TGTTTCACGTGTTCCCAATTACCCTTGCCTCCCTTGTGTATTTAAGTCTCTGTCGTTCCCTCAGGCTCTGTCGGTTTGTCTGTTTAGTTTCCCCCAGTGACTCCTTGTGCTTCTGTTTGCTTTGTCGTGTTTCCTGTTATTCCTGCGTTTGGCTTTTCGGTTTTTGTTCTAGTTCTTGTTCACAGACACTATCACCATGTCTGGTCACCTGTGTTTTATTTCCTGCTTCTCTGCCTTGTAAGTCGTGGACATTCTTAGTTACTAAAGCTCCTTCTTTTCACCTTTCCTCTGTGTGTCGTCTGCGTTTGGGTCCAGTTTGTCGTAGAACCGTGACGACCTTAATGTCTTCCCTTGTTTATTCTGGTTTGCTCACTCCTGCCTCATCACTAAAGCTACTGTTCATATTGATAATGTTACTGTCTTTACACTGTCCCTCGTCTTCTCCACTGGTTCCCTCGCCTGGATATGATAAACCATCAGATGGCCTCTCTCTTTCTTGAATTGTCCGCTGACAGATATTCCCTGAAAAAATGTACACTGATGAATTAATCAATAATACACATTTAAGAGTGAAATGAAGAGTAATCAATATTTCACATTTATATTATAGGCCTAAAACATAAGTATATCTTTGATTACCCCCGTTTTATACCTTTTTAAATAACACTTGGCCAGTGTCTTTGTCCATGTACGCTGCCATTTTGAATGTTGGAATGAAATCACATGACCTGAGTTCTTTATCCATCACCCCTTCAGTGTTACTCATGATCTAAAGCGCAGTCTCTTAATAAAACATCAACGCATTGCATTTACGTCTAAATAGTGCAAATAGCAAGTCATGTGACATCAGGAGAGTTGGGCCTCATGCTGTAATACATGGCTGCTGAGGCAGACAAAAGACTCAACAGGCTTACTAAGGTTAATTCTCAATTTTCTTCTTGGGAGTTCAGTCCACTGTTGTTGGTTGTTGGTGTCTGTTTTGCCAAGAACCTGCTGCTTTACTGGCTGAGCTCCAGAGATCCTGTGAGGAGAAACTTCCAGAAGAGCAAGCATCATGTGCGGTTTCCTGCAGACATGACGTGACCAGTTCAATCCTCGGTTTCATCAGATCTGAAGATCTTGTTTCTTACAGTCTGAGAGTCCTTTAGGTGCTCTCTTTTGCAAACTTCAAGCAGCTTTCATGTGTCTTTCACTGAGGAGAGGCTTCAGTCTGGCTGCACTGCCATAAAAGCCCTGATCGGTGGAGTGTTGCAGCGATGGTTGTCCTTCTGGAACTTTCTCCCATCTCACCACATGGATCTCTGGAGCTCGGCCAGGATGCCCATTGGGTTCTTGCTCACCTATTTTACCAAGGCCCTTCTCCCCCTTCTGATTCCATCATTCCTCAAATCTGTGCCGTGACACAATCCTGTCTCTGAGCTCTGCAGGCAGTTCCTTCCTCCTCATGGCTTGGTTTTGATATGCATTGTCAGCCGTGACGCCTTATACAGACAGGTGTGTGCCTTTCCACATCATGTCCAATCAGTAGATGACTAATAAAACAGCTTTACATGGCTGCTTTTTTTTTTTTTTGGAGAGGGAAAAGCGACAATAGCATATCCTGACGCTTTGATGTGTGCACTGAAACACAGCCAGTGTACCAGGTGTCACTGAAAACAACACGTGTGGGTTTTTTTTGACATGCAGCACAGCCAAATGTTTGAACACTTCAGAAGCATAAGAAAAATTTTCTGACAAGAAACTAAGAATAGAGTTTGAATTTGGCACGAAGAGTGAAAATTATATACCTCATCGCTTATAAATTGTGAACTCAATTGAGTCTACTCCAGGTGGACTCTGTTAAAGGTGTGGAAATGTCTGAAATTACCAAGAGAAATGGAAGGCACCTTTTTAGCTAAATTTCAAGTGTTGCAGCAAAGGCTCTGAATACTTATGTCAATGAGATATTTCAGTTTTTCATTTACCAGACTGTCTAAATTTATGTTTTCACTTTGTCATTACGGAGTATTGAGTGTAGCTTGAGGGGAAAAGTGAATGGAAGTTGTCCGAACACTTTCTGATTGCAGTGTATGTGTGAGGAGTAGTAAGCTAGTATATGGATGGAAATCTTTTCTGTTTCCTGCAACATTTGGTTCGGACATATTTTTGTAGACAAGGGTGGGCGTGATGACTGGCAGGAGTGTGAGGTGGATGGATTTTTTTTTTTTTTTTTTTTTTTAATGTTTACTTAATGAGATGAATATATCACTATCCACCAGCATTGTTATTCCAGAGTTTACTATTTGTCCATATTGAGCTCCGAGGTCAGCTTGTCCTAGCTGCCAAATTACAGGGAAAAACCAAGTGTCCGTGTCTCTCTGCAAGTCATGTCCGCAGCTAAATAGGATTTCCTCGGTATATGAAATGTGAAGGTGAACTCACCCAGGTGGAACACTGACTCCTAAGCAGAGTGAAAAAACAAAGAAAAACACATACCGGGGAGGCTTCATGTTCTACTGTACATCACACATGCACACACTTACATCAACAGCACATCCACATTGTCTCACACACACACACACACACACACACACGCGTGCACGTGAGCGCGCACACAGAAGCATATAGATTTCCTCCTGTGTGGTTCTTTAAGTGTAGAAATTAATTTGGATTTATTTCAGTTCACTCACTTCCATGTTATTTTCACTAACCTCACTGTATATTTTACGACTGTTATCCATATTTTTGACTGAATATACTTTTAAAATTTTAAAACAAATTTTATTCTTTCTTGCACTCATTGATATTTTTATTGCTGCCTTGCAGAAAAGGTGATTAATTATGAGCAAATAGTTAATCATAAGAACAGTTTCCCTTAGTATGGAGCCCTGAATCAGGAAACAAAGATGATTTTTTTTTACTCTCGTTGAATTCTTGTGTTCTCTCACAAAACTTTTGTTATGTTGAAAAATATTGCATTGCCCTCCGCCAGCAATGACGACAATAAAGTATAACGTGCTGCGTCTTGTTGCGTTGCATTATTTGAAACCCGTAGATCTAAGCAGACAAATCATGATCAGGGTACAGTAGCTGTTATGTGCTATTATATGATCTCTTACTGTGATAGATGGCTGCTGTTTTTGGAGAGTGGACGCACATGAATGCTGGGAAAAAAGGAGAATAGCATATCCTGACACGTTGCTGTGTGTGTGAAAACACAGCCAATCAACTGGGTCGCACTGAAAACGTCACGTGTGGTTGGGGCGTATGCCACAGGTGTGTGTGTGTGTGTGTGTGTGTGTTTGTGTGTGTGTGTGCGCATGTGTGAATCCTAACAAATCTTTCAGGAGCAACATTTCTCAGAAAAGGAACTAAGATGAAAGCTTAAGTTTGGCACAAAGACTGTGCGAATTCTAGCTACTCCTCATGACTTATACTTTGTCATTACAATATCATTTCGGCCTGTCAATAGCAATAATATAGCCTTCAAATGTCTTCAACTTTTGGTAATGCAGACATCATAGGTCAAAACACTCCCAACCTGCACTTCATCTTCATATTGTCATGTATTAGAACCCTTCTGCCAGACATTGATACTAGACGACTGTGAACGTCCCTAGATTTTGCTTAATGATGTTTCGATACGTCCAATCTTGTTTTTTAAACTTATTTCCTACAATTATTTGTACATGTGTGGCAACTATGGTATCGTTAAGGTGGAGTGGTCACCAAGAACCTTAATGTCAGGTCTGTGACGGGACACAAACTCCTGCATGGACGTCTGACACACTACATGCCCTTCCATACCCTTGACTTCCATACTGTGATTTTCTGCTTTGCTACATTTAGGGCACACTACTTCTTACATTGGTGACAAGCGTTGGCATTTAAAAACCTGTCACTTTTGTTCAGAGTTCCCTGCGGCTTATACCATAAGTCTTATTGCTGCTGCCGGGAGGCGTCTATAGCTCTTTGGTTCTCTCCCAAAACGTGCACTCCGCATTAAAGGTCAGGTATAAACTTCAGCTGTAGGGACAAGCTTGCCACAATCCACCGTAACTACTAAACATCTGTTGCCGTGCATTCTGATATATACACCTTGCCTCTTAAGCTGTTTAGTGATATCACCTGCTGTCATGTGCAATGAATAGAAGAGATGCTCCTCTTTAATTGACTGATGTGTGTGCATATGGGTAATGTGTTCTGCAGAAGGCAAGGGAAGTGTATTTGGATTGAGAACATCACCTCATTTGGTGTGGATGCTGATTGCTGCTTTGTTTCTGTGTTGCAGGGGACAGGACTTTGAACTGGACAGAACGACTCCGAGTACATTAAAGGCTGCAACCGACCACTGCGCCGCTGCTCCTGCTTCTGCTGCTTCACATGGCAGTCTGCTCACCTCGAAATGATGGAAACCCTCATCACTGACAGGCGCGTGTACTTGCCGCGAAGTGGTACTTAAAGATGATATCTTTCATGTTTTCTTCTCCGTCTCAGAGGTTGTCGACGGGACCTTTTTGAGGAATATTTTCCTTACTGTGGGGAATATTTCTGAGATTTCCCTTCACTGAGCTGCAGGAAACCCATGGCTACTACATTTCCACCGGATGGTTTTCACTTCCTGGATTTTAAAAAGGATCATTAGTGACCACGACCCTCATCAGCGCCGGAGTTACTCACTTGCTTATGCCTGTGTGTGAATGTGACTTTAGTATAACTGTGTGTTTGTGTTTGTATAAATGGCGTAAGTGAGAGCTGGAAAACAAGGAATTCTTACTTGGAAAGGACAAAAGAGGACACAGCAAACAAGTTGAAAACAAGGAGTAGCAGCAATGTCCCGGTGGAGGCACTATTCGAGGACTGGGTGTCGGCTGTTTCAGACTGTGAAGGGCGGGAGCAGGATGATGGGATATGTAGGGCTTGAAGGTTCCCTAAGCGCCGGTCGATGGGTGTCCTCTCTAATATGGCTGGGACTGCTGCTGCTGCTGCAGGCGTCTCCAGCTGCCGTGTCGGCTCAGAAACTTGATGAGAACGACCCCGTGGTCACCACCGCCAATGGCAAGCTGCGCGGCATTAAGAAAGAGCTCAACAATGAGATCCTGGGTCCCGTCGTGCAGTTTCTTGGCGTCCCGTACGCCGCTCCTCCCACCGGCGAGCGCCGCTTTCAGCCCCCCGAGCCGCCGGCGTCGTGGCCCGAGATCCGCAACGCCACGCACTTTGCCCCGGTGTGCCCTCAGAGCATCGTGGAGGGCCGTCTGCCGGACGTGATGCTGCCCGTGTGGTTCACCAACAGCATCGATGTAGTGTCCACATACGTCCAGGACCAGAGCGAAGACTGCCTCTATCTTAACATCTATGTACCCACTGAGGATGGTGAGTTCGCCTGTAGGCCCAGGGCAGGATGGTTGTGGGTACAGTGGGGTAGGGGAGGAGGGTAAAAGAAAACCAACCCACAACCTTGTGGTAAAGAGAAGTGTGTTGTCGGGGTGTGTTTTATTTGTGAGAGTGTATTTCTGTCTCTGTCCCTGTCTGTCTGTCTGTCTGTCTGTCTGTCAGTCAGTTGAGGGAAAGCATGACCTTGCGCATGTTTAATGTGCATGACACTGCTTATAGTACATGAATGTGTGAGAGTGGTTTAGTGTGAGAGAGAGAGAGAGAGAGAGAGAGCAGTGTGCATGTGGATGTGTGTGGCATCCATCCATCCAGGCCAAATTATTCTCATTCCACTCCATATCTGCATCAATCTTCCTCCTTCCATTTTCCATCCTTTCTAACCTTCTCTCCTCCTCTTCCTTTTTTTTTTTTAACTCTTTCCCTTCTGATCCCCTGCTCCTCTTTCTCCTTGCATCACCTTAGTTGAACTCTCTAACCCAACCCCAACCCCCCCCCCCACCCCTCATGTCTGTAACTCATCATAGCCTATTGTGCTCCACCACAATGGCTACAGTTCATTAAACAAGACAGTCGTTGTCATGATCATCACTGATTGATTTGGCTGACTGGCTGAATGACTGGCTGGCTGACTGATAGGCTGAAAACCACGCTGATTGAGCTTCTGTGATTCATTCTTTCCCTCTGTCTTTATTTCTCCCTTTCCCTCCTCTCTAAGTCTTTTTTTTTTTTTTCACAGTCAATCAGCTTCGTGTGTGTGTGTGTGTGTGTGTGTGTGTGTGTGTGTGTGTGTGTGTGTGTGTGTGTGTGTGTGTGTGTGTGTGTGTGTGTGTGTGTGTCAGGGTGTTTGTACGAGTGTGTGCATGCAGCTCCTGTGTGTGTTGCGCGTCCAGGGGCTCCATGTTATTCTTTAGTCTTCTATTCATTTTACAGTCAAAAGAATATCCAAGGAATGTGCCAGGAAACCGGGCAAGAAAATATGTAGACAAGGAGGTATGTATGATCTGAACGCAATCTATACAATGCCACAGTAAGAAGAAACAGCCTGAAAATAGGAAGACAAAAAAAAGAAGAACTGTGTTGTACAGCAGAGAGCAATTGGGAGATCAAGGTGTACAAATTATTCAGGTCTTGACTCGGGGCATCTGCAGGTTTTTTTGAAAGCTAACTGTAAAAGACAGGGACCCTTTTAAATGCTACCTGGAAGTAAATTTGAGGCCAATTTGAACAACCAAAGTAGAAAAACCAAGCTGTCAGTCCCAGTCCTCCACTGACTTAACATACATAATGCAGTTCAAGAGAGTATATGTGAACAGAGCAGGACCTTTCTTTTTATTTTTTTTTTCAGATTTGTCAGACTTGGTAAATATCCTGCAGATAGCAACAATAACACATTTGCGAACCAAAAAACCCCCTGACTCAGCCATGTAATTTGTAGACCTTGTGATGGTGGGATAATGGCGCAGGAGTGTTGCATCAGCCTCTCTTGGTCCATTGCTGTGCGTACGCTCTCTCTCATTGGTCAGCGAGATTGGGAGATTTTGAGTGGATGCCAGATCTGGGGTCGGAAGGTGTGCAGTAATGATGGTTGATGTGTGAGGAGATAACAGCAAATTTATTAGATCAGGCACACTGTCACAAACACACACACACACACACACACACACACACACACACACACACACACACACACACACACACACACACACACGCGCACACGCACACACTCAGTGATGTAGATGTATGCAGTGTTAAACAAGATGAGCTCAGGCTGGACCTTGACTGTGTAATCTCCATTAAAAGAAAGCAGAGCTGTGTTCAGGTTGGCTCGGGCTACTGTATCAAGCACTGTTTCATCAAGATAATGCCCTCCTCCTCCCCCTCCTCCTCCTCCTCCTCCACCTCCTCCTCTTCCTCCTCTTCTCTGTCTCTCAGCCTCTCACTCCCTGGATGTGTGCACGTCTTTTATGTGTATATATATTTGTGTGTGTGTGTGTGTGCGAGTGTGAGAGAGAGAGACAGCGAGAGAGGGAGAGGGGAGATGCTGACAGTGTCCTTGATAAGGTCCGGGTGTTAATGTCATTGTCTTGGCAGCAGTCAGTATTATCACTTAGTGTACGTTACTGCTCTTCTTACCACACAGATACATGTACACTATAACTACTCTGCTCCTCTCCTCTCCCCTCCT